TACACGCCGGGTGGCGGTAATATTTTTTGGGTGATTAGTGCATTCCAGTGACCTAAACGTACAGTTTCCAGCCAACGGCAAGCTGCAATTGACCGATCGTGCTAAATAAACTGACTTTCTGCTTCACAACCACTATTGTACGTTCAAAAGAGTTAAATCCATATACACGCCGGGTGGCGGTAATATTTTTTGGGTGATTAGTGCATTCCAGTAACATAAACGTACAGTTTACAGCCAACGGCAAGCTGCAATTGACCGATTGTGCTAAATAAACTGACTTTCTGCTTCACAATCACTATTGTACGTTCAAAGAGTTAAATCCGGTTTTATTTTTGGGGTGCTTATTGAAGTAAAGAGTATGTCAGACAACACGCAGAGGAGTGGCAGAGGAGGCAATGTTTCAGGAGCGAGCAGACATGGCAGCAGAGGAAGGGGTCGAGGCAGCACTAGTCGCAGCCAGAGGCCAGTGCTCCCGGTGTCATCCAGCGGTCGTGTCTCCACCGACAACCCTGCCGTCATCGATTGGTTGACTCGGTCGTCTTCCTCTTCCCAGGTCACCTCTGACACCTACAGCCAACAGTCGGTGGGTACGTCAGACACAACCGTTAGTTGGCATGACCCGGGAGCAAGCCCACTGAAATCACGTGTCCTCGACCTGCCCCTGTCCTTTGGTGTTCCGTCACCAAGCGAAGTATCGCATGCTGTGGGCTCAGCCCCACTGTACAGTGAGGGAGGAGCTAACAGAGGGTGGTCAGGAACGGGGGGAGACATCCGCCTCTTCAGCAGCCAGGCGAAGAAGTACTGGCGAGGAGAGTGGCTCGGTAGCCGGTCTAGAGACAGGTCTGTCTCCTGACCCACACGCAGCCGAGGGGGCTAGTAGTGACGCGGAGACCCTAATTGATGATGATGATGAGGCTGATCGCACTTGGCAGCCTCGTCGTCATCAGGCTATTGCTTCCGCATCATCAGGAGAAGAGGGTGCCAGCTTGCCAGCGAGCAAAACAGTCGGTGGGTTGCCCAGGAGGCAGCAGGGTCGCAGCAGTGTCAGTGGAGCCAAACGGCCACGGAGTAGAGCACCAGCTCCACTGCAGCCTACCACCACGGCCAGTAGTGGTGCCGGTGTGCACGGAGGAAGTAGCAGTCAGCCAGTGAGGAGTAGCGGGGGCAAAGTTTCCTACTCGGCGGTGGTGGCAATATTTCGTCAAGCCGCTCGAGGAAGTAAACGTAGCCGTATGTCGACTATGTGGCCAGAAAGTCAAGCGTGGCCAGGGGGCCAATGTTGGGACTACAGCGTTGCGTCAGCATATGCAGCGTCGCCATTCGGTGGCCTGGGAAAACCGTGATAAAGATACGGCGGTTCTGCCTGCCCCAGCCCCCGCTCCATCACCCGCTCCGTTACTTGCTCCGTCACCCGACGTCAATCGCCCTCTATCAGCCAGTCAAGGCTCCAACACCTCTGCTGAGGGGAGTTGTCGCTTGTTGGCATCTTCCGCTCGTTCAGATGCTCCTTCTCCTGCTACTACCCTCTCTCGGATTCCGTCAGCAGTCTTTCTTGGAATCCGTTTCCAAGAGACAACAGTTTGCGAGCACGCACCCGACGGTGCAGAAGCTGAACGTCCTCCTGTCCAAGTTGCTGGTGCTGCAGTCCCTCCCTTTCCAAGTGGTGGACTCAGCACCTTTCCGAGAAATGATGGCTTGTGCCGAGCCGCGGTGGAGAGTGCCAAGCCGGCATTTCTTCGCCAAAAAGGCAGTGCCAGCCCTGCATTCACATTTAGAAGAGATGGTGGGCCAGTCTTTGAGCATGTCGGTCTCTGCCAAAGTGCACGGCAGCGCCGACGTGTGGAGCTGTAACTACGGTCAGGGACAGTACATGTCATTTACGGCCCACTGGGTGAACGTGGTGCCGGCACAGCCGCACCAGCAACTTGGACAGGTCACGCCGCTTTTGCCTCCACGTTTGCACATCCTTGGTCCAGCAAAGATGTCCGCCTCTACCACCTCTTCTTCCGCCGTGTCCTCAGCCGCCACCCCCCCGTGCCAAGTCCCATTACCCGACCGGCATATCACATGTGCAGGGCGCAACGGTGTCACGCTGTGCTGCACCTGGTATGCCTTGGCGAACGTAGTCACACAGGAGAGGAACTTCTGAGTGTAATGAACAGAGAAATCGACAGATGGCTGTCTCCGCGCAAACTCAAAATCGGAACCATGTTGACCGACAACGGAAAGAACATGGTGTCTGCTCTGCATCAAGGAAGGTTGTGCCATGCGCCATGCATGGCTCACGTGTTCAATCTGGTTGTCAAGCGGTTCCTAAAATCCACCATCCCACTGCAAGACATCCTTAAAATGTCACGTAAACTTTGCATGCATTTCAGCCATTCCTACACCGCAAAGCACACCCTCCTTGAGCTGCAGCGGCAGAACGGAATTCCACAGCATCGCCTGATCTGTTGACGCCTTTGCAACAAGGTGGAATTCAACCCTACATATGTTAGACCGCCTTTACGAACAGCGAAAGGCCATCACCGATTTTGCAATGGCTGGAATTTAACAATGGCTGGTCAGGGTGCGGTAGTCGTGGTGCACGTGGCGAGATCTCAACGCCACATGACCCCTGTGGGGCAGGACAGGAAGAAGAGGAGGAGGTAGAGGAGGACATTGGTGCTCAATAATTATTGAGTGAAATGGGTGGTTTTTCCACTCAGCGGACAGGAGTGGAGGAGCAGGAGCATCTGGTAGAGGAGGAGGAGACAGAGGACCCAGACGCACCGTGGCAGTATGCTGTGGAGATGGAGGCAGGGAGTCCCTCGCATTCCTTGGCACAAATGGCCCATAGCATGCTCGGTTGCTTGCGTAGCGACAGCCGAATAATAACCATCAGACAGAGGGATGACTTTTTGGCTGTCCACCTTGTTGGACCCTCGCTACCGTTCAAAAATGGTGGCCTTTTTTCACACCTGCTGAGAGGGAGGCCAAAATAAAGTACTATAAAAACCACCTATGTAGTCAGTTGGTCTCTGCCTTTGTGCGCCAACGTCCATCCTCAGACACTGTGGGCCCTGTGCGCTCGCGTTCCGCTGCCATGGCAGCAGGGGAGGGGTGGGGTGGTAGGAGCAGTGGCAGCTCCACCAGCAGCGGCTGCCTCAGTCTGCAGTCGATGATGAGTAGCTTTCTTCACCAGCGCAGTGAGGAAACTACTAACCAGCCGCAGCAGCAGCAGCAGCATCAGGTGGACCTGGAGCAGGACCTCAAACAACAGGCTTGGGCCTACTTGGACAGCACCCTGCCAACCGAGGTAGACAATCCCCTTGACTACTGGGCAACGAAACTTGACCTTTGGCCCCAACTAGCTGAATTTGCCCTTGAAAGGCTGTCATGCCCGGCCAGTAGTGTGGCATCGGAGCGATTGTTTAGTGCGGCAGGAGGTATTGTAACTCCACGGAGGACACGACTGTCCACCCAAAGTGTGGAGAGACTCACGTTTGTGAAAATGAATCAGGCGTGGATTAGCCTGGATTTCAAACCACCAGTTCCTGACACAACTGACTAAATCCGCCATGAATCATGCCCCAAACATGTTATTAGGGACAAATGGAAGACCTCCACCTGATCCGTACATTTGTATATATATTTTATTGAGAGGCTGCTGGTCGCCGACTCATGTTTTGCACATTTTTAATGACTTATACTCTGCAGGTCGGGCCCCTCATGAATTGGGGTTTTTAAATTATTTATACTTCGCTGGACGACCGTCACATGAATTGAACCTTTTTAATGACTTATACTCTGCTGGTCGGGCCCCTCATGAATTGGTGTTTTTAAATTATTTATACGTCGCTGGACGACTGTCACATGAATTTAAACTTTTTAATTATTTATAGTCGACCAGTTCCAGACCGATGGAATAGCAATTTTTTTAAATATTTATTTGACACGTGTTGTCCATCTCATCAATGAGGTGGACTGTTTATTTATTGGCCACGGTTTGGCCCCCTCCTGTTTCTTACATTGTTAACTTGTTGTATCGGTCACGGTTTGGCCACATGTTTGGTTGTCTTGTTAAGATTTTCTGTAATGTACACAGTTACGCTTGACTTGTCGACTTTCCACAATCTACTAAGGTATAGCATCGCATCAAAGTTTTTTTTTTTTTTTTTGGTCTAAACCATTTCTTATAATGTCAATTTGTAGGATACGCCGCTGTAAGGCGACCTACTTTTTTGTCACTGTGTAGACATCTATTTATAGGCCGATGTTTGGCCAGAAAGATATATTTAGTAATAACCTAGCCGTTCAAGCCGCTCACTGAACACCTCGGGAATTGCTTTGTATATCTGTCGCCTTAGGGGCCGCTGTCTGGCGACATAATTTTTTGTCACTGTGTAGACATCTATTTATAGGCCGATGTTTGGCCACAAAAATATATTTAGTAATAACCTAGCCGTTCAGGCCGCTCCCTGAACACCTCGGGAATTGCTTTGTATATCTGTCGCCTTAGAGGCCGCTGTCTGAACAGCTCATGAATTGCTTTCTATATGTGTTGCCTTTGAGGCCGCTGGCTGGACAGCTGATGAATTGATTTGTATATATGTACTTATTGTCCGCTGTCCGGACAGCTCATGAATTACTTTTTTGTATATAGCCTTCCAAACCACTCTCAGAATAAGTCATGATATTCATGCTGTGTATAGCCTTATAGGCCAATGGTCAATCAAGTCATGATTGTTATAGTGTGTATAGCCTTATAGGCCGCTGTCTTTACAACTTTATAATTCCATGCAGTATATAGCCCTATCGGCCACTTTCTGGCATCCAGTTGCTGTAGCCCCCATCACCACACTGTGCCACGGGCCCCTGTACCGCCTTCTCATACTGCTGCCAGATCCATCCTCTGCCATGTGCGTCTTTGTCGTCTGCTCACGCTGCTGGGTTCCAGTTTTAAACCTAGGCCTGTGTATGGCTTCCGAATACTGCTGCCTCCACCGCCACCCTGCGCCATGTGCCTCTGTCGTCTGCTCACGCTGCTGACGGCTTCCACTTTTTAACCTAGGCCTGTGTATGGCTTCCGAATACTGCTGCCTCCACCGCCACCCTGCGCCATGTGCCTCTGTCGTCTGCTCACGCTGCTGACGGGCTTCCGCTTTTTAAACTAATCCTGTGTATGTCTTCCGAATACTGCTGCCTCCACCGCCACCCTGCGCCATGTGCCACTTTTGGGTCTCCTCACACTGCTGCCAGGTCCATACTGATTCATGGCCCCCTGTACCGGCTCCTCATGAACGTGGTTCAGCGGGTTTGCATCACTTAACGGCAAATCGTTGACAAATGCTGGGACGTTCATTGTTGTGCGCATTAAGCCAGACACCAAAGGGCAGCACAGACCTGTTATTACTCGCTCAAGCATGGCTGAACAAAACCAGTCTCTACCACAAATTGGACCCAGACCTGCCCAGGGTCTCGTAACTAGATTGCACGGAGGAGTAGAGTCCGTTATCGGAATTAAATAGACAAAACGCCACACCAAAAAGAGTGGCCATTTCCAACACTTATTCCAGAAAGAGGAACAACCCGTTTCATATACGGCCCGTAGACGTTTCACGTCTGCCACATTCAGTCGATTTAAGATGCAAGCTCCACTTCCTGTGGTCTCTGACCGTCGATATACCTTTAAGTGTCAGCTTTGAAGCTATATTCCCTCCGGAGCACTGACACTGGTGCCCTTCCGTCAACATGCCTTTAAGTTTCAGTTTTCAACCATATTCCCCACAGAAGCCAAACTCTTGGGTATCCCAGAAGCTGCTCAGCGGGGTCAGGGCAATAAAGCTCCTGGTTCGCAGGTTGTTCCGTCTTATGGATGGAAGTACGACGGTATATGATCTTCTTCGCACCCACGGCATTACCTCATAAAATTTCTGCATTGCATCTGCAATCACAACGCTGACTTCCCGGATCGCCACTCAGCCATTGGACTCTTGATAGTCGTCTCCCCACACTGCTGCTGGGGGACTTTTTAACCTAGGCCTGTGTATGGCCTTCAATTGAAGCTGCTTCCGCTCCGCCACTCTGCCATTGGACTCTTGATAGTCGTCTCCCCACGCTACTGCTGGGGGGACTTTTTAACCTAGGCCTCTGTATGGCCTTTAATTGAAGCTGCTTATGCTCCGCCACTCTGCCATGGGCCTCTTGGGTATCCCAGAAGCTGCTCAGCGGGTCAGGGCAATAAAGCTCCCGGTTCGCAGGTTGTTCCGTCTTATGGATGGAAGTACGACGGTATATGATCTTCTTCGCACCCACGGAATTACTTCGTAGAATTTCTGCATTGCATCTGCAATCACAACGCTGACTTCCCGGATCGCCACTCAGCCATTGGACTCTTGATAGTCGTCTCCCCACGCTGCTGCTGGGGGGACTTTTTAAACCTAGGCCTGTGTATGGCCTTTAATTGAAGCTGCTTCTGCTCCGCCACTCTGCCATTGGACTCTTGATAGTCGTCTCCCCACACTGCTGCTGGGGGGACTTTTTAACATAGGCCTCTGTATGGCCTTCAATTTAAGCTGCTTACGCTTCGCCACTCTGCCATGGGCCCCTGTACCGCCTCCTCTTGCTGCTGCCAGGTCCAGAGTGTGTCATGGGTCCCTGTACGGCCTCCCATTGCTGCTGACTTCATCGCCAGACTCTGCCATGTGCCACTTTCAGGTCTCCTTACACTGTTGGTGGGTTCCATTTTGTGATAGGGTGCTGTATGGCCTTCCATTGCTGCTGCCTCCACCGCCACCCTGCGCCATGTGCCTCTGTCGTCTGCTCACGCTGCTGACGGGCTTCTGCTTTTTAACCGAGGCCTGTGTTGGCTTCCGAATACTGCTGCATCCACCGCCACCCTGCGCCATGTGTCTCTGTCGTCTGCTCACGCTGCTGACGGCTTCCGCTTTTTAACCTAGGCCTGTGTATGGCTTCAGAATAATGCTGCCTACACCGCCACCCTGCGCCATGTGCCTCTGTCGTCTGCTCGCGCTGCTGCCAGGTCCATACTGATTCATGGCCCCCTGTACCGGCTCCTCATGAACGTGGTTCAGCGGGTTTGCATCACTTAACGGCAAATCGTTGACAAACGCTGGGACGTTCAGTGTTGTGCGCATTAAGCCAGACACCAAAGGGCAGCACAGACCTGTTATTACTCGCTCAAGCATGGCTGAACAAAACCAGTCTCTACCACAAATTGGACCCAGACCTGCCCAGGGTCTCGTAAGTAGATTGCACGGAGGAGTAGAGTTCGTTATTGGAATTAACTGTGAGGGACTTTTAAACCTAGGCCTGTGTATGGCCTTCAATTGAAGCTGCTTCTGCTCCGCCACTCTGCCATTGGACTCTTGATAGTCGTCTCCCCACGCTGCTGCTGGGGGGACTTTTTAACATAGGCCTCTGTATGGCCTTCAATTTTAGCTGCTTACGCTCCGCCACTCTGCCATGGGCCCCTATACCGCCTCCTCATGCTGCTGCCAGGCCCGTAATCTGCCATGGGCCCCCGTACCGACTCCTCATGCTGCTGCCAGGCCCGTAATCTGTCATGGGCCCCTGTACCGCCTCCTCATGCTGCTGCCAGGTCCAGAGTGTGTCATGGGTCCCTGTACGGCCTCCCATTGCTGCTGTCTCCATCGCCACACTCTGCCATGTGCCACTTTCAGGTCTCCTCACGCTGCTGGTGGGTTCCATTTTGTCATAGGGTGCTGTATGGCCTCCCATTGCTGCTGCCTCCACCGCCACACTGTGGCTCCACACTCTGGTTTTGGCCCCGTGACTGCCCAAATGAGTGAAGTGTGCGGTGATTCTAAGATCGACGGCACTCATCTGCATGTCATACTGACTGACAGTATTATTTCTCTTCCCCAGCAGACTCCAAGGGCATTTAAATTAAAGGTACAGTGTTCTGCACTAATATAAAGGCTCTCTGAAGCCTAGAAACACCCTTTTTATAAGTTAAATTCACAGCGAATATATTCGGTTCGAAGCGAATTTATTCGGCGAATTCGGCGAATCAGCCGAACCGAATTTTTGAATAATTCGCTCATCTCTATTCACAATGTTCTACCCGTCAATTCATGACAAAATAGGCTCTACACTTTTTGCATCCAAAAACACTACTTTGTCAGGAGCACATTACAGGAATACCTATAATATACAACTATATTAAAGGTTACAAACATACATATCCAAGAGATAACTATAATGTACAAATCAGTCTGATGTACAAATTACTTATAATGCTCCAAGCAAATTATAAAAACCATACCACAATATTGTTAAAACATATTGGACACCTGTATTTGTGATACACTACTTATCCACTTTTAGTGACTATAATTTGTATCCTTCACCTTTTAATAAAATGCTGCTGAGAATGCACTATGCATTTGCACTCTTTTGTTTTTGTTGTTACTTTCACTTTGACATGGGACACTGATTTCCTCCCCTTTTTGTATCTTTATATTATTAAAAATGATGAAGGTTTTATTAAAACTTACCTCTTCTGGAAGCCCACTCCAGGCAGTTATCTACTCCATTACAAAAGTGCCAACCCACAACATCTCATTGGGGCTATCCACAAGGGCCAATATCTTAGAATAAGGAGAAATTGCACAAGCAATGCTGATTTCGATCGAGAGATCTGATTACTTCACAAACGCTTTCTTGATAGTAGGTAGACATGTGCAAAATGAAAAAATTTTTTTTTGCTTTGATTCAGTATTTAACCCCTTCATGCCTAAGAGTAAAACAAATTTTAAATGCCTAAGCACAATTTTGAAATGTTGACATGTGTTAGCAAAACTGTAAATATCATCACAACTACATTGTGCATCCAGGTGAATTATACCTTGTTTTTTTTTCAGGAAATATTGGATTTTCATTTGGTGGTAAATGATAATGGATATCTCCTGATTTTTTTTATTATCAAAGGAAAACTGGCCCAAAAAAATAAAAAAAGTATTTTTTTTATTTAGCTGTGTGTTTCTTGTTACTACCATAACCTACCACCAAAGCATAACCCAAAATAAATTCTCCAGCTCTTGACAATCTCAGCGATACCATATATGTGTTATTTATTGTTTGTACCCGTAGTACAGCCCAGAAACAATAGTACACATTTTGTTTTTGTCTTTTTTTTTTTTTTTTACCTAAAACACACTGACACTGACACTGGAATTGACACTAACTGACACTGATACCAATTTTTTTTAAATCCTGATCTTTGACCCTGGCCTTTTGACCTTTGACCCAAACACTAACCCTGGCACTGAACTAGATCAAACCTTGATCTAGGTATTTTTTCTTTCTTTTTTTTTTTTTTTTAACAAACATTTTATTTTCTCTCTATGTCAGGAGTTAGAGAGATACAATGTATCTCTCTCTTCCATTCATAGAGAGAGAAAAAAACAAGGGCCCCGGCTGTACAGTGACTGATCACTGTGATAGCCAATCAGAGGCTATCACAGCCAGGGGCGGACTGACCATTTGGAAACTCTGGCACTGCCCGAGGGCCCGGAGTCAGTAGGGGGCACCATGAGATGCCCCTGGTACCTTTTTCATAGGCTTTTTTGAGTTTGGGCAAGGACACAGGGGCCCCATGATCCCCTATTGCCCGGGGGCCCCATGAGTTGTCAGTCCGCCCCTGATCACAGCTATCATGTGACCCGGAATCGGGATTCCAGGGTCCCGATCGTTAGAACGGGACCCGGTGCTCTCAGTGACACAGCGGTCTTTGGGCTCGGAGCACACTGTGTGGCACGCTCCTAGCACAAAAACAGTTACGCAAATATGCAGCCTCACGAAAAAAAAAAGCCCAGTTCTGTGAGGCCGCATATTTGTGTTACATCGGCGTCAAGGGGTTAAATAATTTAATTTTCTTAAATTCATCTAATTAATTTGTTTTCTGAATTCATTGCTTTTCATTTTCAAATTTGATTCTATTTTATTTGAATTCTTATTTATTCCATTTGAAATTAGAATTTCGGAAGATATACAGTATTCTTTCTATTTTATTCTGTTCTAGTTTATTGTTTTTCTATTCTATTCTATGTTATGCTCTTATTTTCCGTTCTCTTTTAATCTATTTGAATTTTTTTTCTATTTGAAATTCGAATTTCAGAAGACGGTAATATTCTTTTGATTGTATTCTATTGTTTTTTCTATTATATTCTTTTCTATACTGTCCCAGTTTATTCTATTTGAATTCAAATAGAATAGTTATATTCTTTTTATTCTATTGCTTTTTTGTATTCTATTCTATTCTTTTCTATTCTATTCTTTTCTACACTAATTTATTCTATTTGAAATTCAAATTTCGGAAGATGGTTGTTATCTTTTCATTTTATTCTATTGTTTTTCTATTGTATTCTATTCTAATCTATTCTTTTCAAATTCATATTTATTCTTTTCGAAATTTGAATTTGGAATACAGTTATATTCTTTCTATTTTATTCTATTCTACTGTTTTTCTATTCTGTTCTTTTCTACTGTATTCTTTTCTATTCTAATCTATTCTATTCAAATTCAAATGTATTCTATTTGAAATCTGAACTTCAGAAGACAGTTATAGTCTTTCTATTTCATTCTTTTCTATATTTTTTTTTATTCTAGTCTATTTTTTTTCTATTCTAATTTGTTCTATTCTTTTCTTTTATATAGTATTATATTCTACTCTTATATATTGTATTCTTTTCTACTCTTTTCTGTTCTATTCTATTGGTATTCTGATATTTTCTATTCTAATCTATTCTACTACTTTGTGTTCTATAGTATTTTCTTCATATTCAAATTCAATTTGAATTCAATTTAAATTTGATTTAAATTCAAGTTGAATTCAATTCAAATTAGAATTTTGTCTGAATTTGTTTTGTTATTTCGGATTCGTTACTATTGTAATTCAGAAATTTGGAGACATCTGAATGTCCAAATAACAAAAAATGTATTTGAATTTAGAACAAAATGAACCACACATGTCTAATAGGGGATGTAGTAGGAAATCCCTAAGGGATGCTTACAATCAAGCCAAAAGTAGTCCATGGGACTTAATATTGTTTCAAAGTGAAGACATACACATCGCCCACAAAATTCACCTAATTTTTTTCTACTAAACACCAGTGCTGGAATAGGAAGAAAAAATAAACCACCACAGCTGCTCTAAACAAAATGCCATATGGGCATTCAGTAGTAACATAAATAAATTAAATACAGTGCATAAAAAAGACCCACAATTCCCAAAATATACAAATAAATGTGCAAAAAATGTCCACACATTAAAGTGCTCCTGTGCAAATACTCTCAACAAATTTGAGCACTATGGCCTCAATACCGTGTCCATGCATTTAATTTCATACAAATATTCCAGTGCAAATTCCTCAGACAGAAACAGTGTGCCTTTGATGCAGTGCCCCAGTGATCCTCCACCATCATCACCACAGAAACTCACCAGCGAACTCACCAGATATACAGTATATGACCACCCAAGATAGGTAAGTTATAAAGCCCTTGTTAAACAGGGGTTTAGCACCATCCTTTTTCCATCAGGGTCAGTCACTTCATTCTCTTTTTACTTGACTTGCAATCATATGAACTCATGCCACCTTAGGAGGAGATAGAGGGAAACCGGCATAGTGTAAAAACCTTAAAGCACTTTATTTGTGAGTTCGCTGTGTTGGTGGTGGAGGATCACTGGAGTACTGTATCAAAGGCACACTGTTTTTGTC